CTGAAAACAGAGCTGATTTTGACAGGGTAAAAAGGGTGTTGTTTTACCAAAGTATGTTATAGACTTTTCATTAAGACCCTAAAAAATCATATCAACTTGTGGAAAATGGGCATCTGATGACCCCTTTAAAAGTAACAAAAACACATACATATTTTACTATTTACTCAAAAAAATATTTGAAAGTACAAAATTCTAAAAGTACATAATCCATTGACAAGGCTGTCGTGGGTTTTGTAACTAGTAATGTGGACACGGTGTTATACGGTACCATCACACACTGGACAGCACTGGCCCGGCTGGGTGATGGGGTTACTACATCCTGGGTTTGGACATGGCCTCCTGTCGCAGGTCACCTGACCATTCCTGCACATGCAATGACTGCAGCGATCAGCGGGGTCTGGAAACTCCTGACCGTTCTGATACTCCCGGCCATCATACATGCAAGCTAAAACACAGAATACAACTCAATATAATCACAATGATCAAACAATTAATATAAAAGACTCTTAATTACAGCTGCTAATAATACTCACTCCTTTTTATTTCCTATAATCCGCGCAAATCATCATATACGTAAGAGAACTCCCATATTGCCAGTATATATATATATATATATATATATATATACAGTATATACTGTAGATAGATAGATAGATAGATAGACAGACAACAGTTCTTTCTGGCCCTTGAATCTGATTGGCTGATAAGAGTGCGATATTCAAGTGATAACAGAACTCCAACTTTCACTGTTTGTATCGCTCTGCTTGCGCCATTCCTCACAGCGATTGTCATGGCGGACACCCAAATCCACAATAATTTTATAAATAATACTGTTTTTGTGTCACGGTTTTTATGTTTTATGAGCTTTTAGGTGAGAATGTACTTGTTTAGACTACAAATATGTAATTTACTTCCCCTTGTTAGATGTTAGACACAGCCAACAAATGCACTGAGCAGCGCTGTCATCGGAAATCACCCTTAACAGATGAAAGGATAGTACAGCAAAGAGCCTATCACTTTCCCCAGTGGACATTCAAACTAATGTTTTATTGTGAATATGAGATTGAGCTGAAGAATGAATGCTGTATCACATGCAGGTAATGGAGCAACTCTACGTTCCTTCGTTACTAGTTCTGAAGTGATGTTTTGGAATTAGTATCTGGGCTCAGATGTTAAACTGTCAACTTTAGATTTGAATCCATGGCAGAAGGAAGTACACAGAGAAAAAGGGTTTTTAAAGACAATTCGTTATTGTTTCTTATGTATTTACACACTTGAATCACAGTGTTATTCCTGCTTCCTGTTTGCAGTGCTGGTTTGTGATTGTAGCTCCATGTAGCTTTGTTTTTGTGTAAAATCTCTATCACTCTCTGTTGTTTAAAGTGATAAAATATAACTTAATTCCCACCATATTTCTGATATTATCTATCAACCTAATCTGATTAATTTGATCATTCGCTTTTATTCTAAAACCGCGAGTGCAACGTTAGCATTCATTAGCTTGTCATTAGCATTTCCATTCGTGCCTATTGCGGTTTTCTTTCTTTTTCTTTTCTCTCGCTCCGTTTTTTTCACAAGTTCATCAAACAACTGGTAAGTAAGAATCATTCATCCGCTCTTCCGTTCCGATCAAAACATTAAACAGGTTCTCCCCACTCAGTGACGCACCCACTGAGAAACATGATCAAAGTGCTCTAATTATTGCCGATTCTATTGTACGGAACGTGAAAATAGAGACACCAGCCACTCTAGTCCAATGTTTACCGGGAGCCAGAGCGCTGAAAAATGAGTGTTTACTATTGTCATTTTGCATTATTGACACACTATTTTCCTAATTAATGCTGTTCAGTTGCTTTGACACAATCTGTATTGTTAAAAGCACTATATAAATAAAGGTGACTTGACTTGTGCCATCAAACTGTTGCATAATTACAAAATATGATAACACTAGCATACTGGCTGTTTAATCATACCATTCAAATGTCTGGGATATATAGGTATGAGCAATATCACATGATTAGCCTGAGATATAGCTGTATATTGGCATGGCTGTGATTCGGCCGTAGAGCCAGACTTTTGAAAGGTATGATTAAACAACCAGTATGCTAGTAATATGCATGCTAGTAAGCAACTAGTTAATAGTGAGAATTTGTCTTTAAAATAAAGTGTTATCAAAGTAACTTTTTTTTATATTTGAATAAATTTATTCCTGTGATTCTAATATATATTGATTTGCTGCTCAAGAAACATTTCTTATTATTAAATTTCATATTTTGTGTAAACTGTAATATATTTGTTTTTCAGGATTTTTTGATGAATAGAAAGTTCAAAAGAACAGCATTAATTTAAAACAGAAATCTTTTTCACTTTTGTTATGCAAACTTGCTAAATAAATGTATTCCATTCTCATTCTGAAGAGCTTTGATTGGGGAAAAAATCATTGCAGTGCAGGAGTAGTCATCAATATTTCTTACTAATTTTTATCAGAAGAGTAATACTGTAAAAAGTGACCTTTGTGTTTTTTGTCAATGAAGTACACTAGTTTAGGAGAACACTAGCATATTTATCTTACAATGAAAAAACACATTTCACTATTTACTCCAAAAAAATTTGAAAACACAAGGCTGTCGTGGGTTTTGTAACTAGTAATGTGGACAGTGTTATACGGTACCATCACACACTGGACAGCACTGGCCCGGCCGGGTGATGGGGTTACTACATCCTGGGTTTGGACATGGCCTCCTGTTGCAGGTCACCTGACCATTCCTGCACATGCAACGACTGCAGCGATCAGTGGGGTCTGGAAACTCCTGACCGTTCTGATACTCCCGGCCATCATGCATGCAGGCTAAAACACAGAATACAACTCAATATAATCATAACAATCAATTCATTAAAGGGATAGTTCACTAAAACAGCTGACAGCAGTCATTGACTTCCATAGTATTTTTCCTATGAAAATCAGTGGCTAACGTCCACTGTTTGGATACTAAGATTCTTCAAAGTATCTTCTTTTATGCTCAACAGGAGAAAGAAACTCATACAGGTTTGGAGCAACTTGAGAGTGAGTTAATGATGACAAGTCAATGATAACAAAATTTAAATTTTTGTGTGAACTATCTCTTTAATACAAAAGACCCTTAATTACAGCTACTAATAATACTCACTCCTTTTCATTTTCTATGAACCACACAAATCATATACGTATAAATGTAAGAAAACTCACATACCATCACACTGTGTGTGTATGTGTGTGTACACACTACTTTAGGAGAACACTAGCATATATAAATCCAGATTCACCTCCATAAGAAGTGAGTATAAGGTTCTGAATCTTTCTGAATCTTTGCAAATCGCCTTTCCTAATAAAGCGCTAGTTAGCAAGTTCCGCGGCTAAAGTAAACAGTCTCATGGGCTCCTCACCCCACGGATGAGAGGGGCGGGGTCAGCAGAGCTCATTAGCATTTAAAGGAACATGGACTAAAACAGCTTGCTGAAAACAGAGCTGATTTTGACAGGGTAAAAGGGTGTTGTTTAACACTACCATTGAGAAATGTTAACCAAAGTATGTTATAGACTTTTCATTAAGACCCTAAAAAATCATATCAACTTGTGGAAAATGGGCATCTGATGACCCCTTTAAAAGTAACAAAAACACATACATATTTTACTATTTACTCAAAAAAATATTTGAAAGTACAAAATTCTAAAAGTACATAATCCATTGACAAGGCTGTCGTAGGTTTTGTAACTAGTAATGTGGACACGGTGTTATACGGTACCATCACACACTGGACAGCACTGGCCCGGCTGGGTGATGGGGTTACTACATCCTGGGTTTGGACATGGCCTCCTGTTGCAGGTCACCTGACCATTCCTGCACATGCAATGACTGCAGCGATCAGCGAGGTCTGGAAACTCCTGACCATTCTGATACTCCCGGCCATCATACATGCAGGCTAAAACACAGAATACAACTCAATTTAATCACAATGATCAAACAATTAATATAAAAGACTCTTAATTACAGCTGCTAATAATACTCACTCCTTTTTATTTCCTATAATCCGCGCAGATCATCATATACGTATAAATGTAAGAGAACTCCCATATTGCCACACTGTGTGCATACATACGTATATATGTATATATATATATATATATATATATATACAGTATATACTGTTCAAACTAATGTTTTATTGTGAATATGAGATTGAGCTGAAGAATGAATGCTGTATCAGATGCAGGTAATGAAGCAACTCTACGTTCCGTCGTTACTAGTTCTAAAGTGATGTTTTGGAATTAGTATCGGAGGCTTGGGCTCAGATGTTAAACTGTCAACTTCAGATTTGAATCCACGGCAGAAGGAAGTACACACAGAAAAAGGGTTTTTAATCCTATGAAAATCAGTGGCTAACGTCCACTGTTTGGATACTAAGATTCTTCAAAGTATCTTCTTTTATGCTCAACAGGAGAAAGAAACTCATACAGGTTTGGAGCAACTTGAGAGTGAGTTAATGATGACAAGTCAATGATAACAAAATTTAAATTTTTGTGTGAACTATCTCTTTAATACAAAAGACCCTTAATTACAGCTACTAATAATACTCACTCCTTTTCATTTTCTATGAACCACACAAATCATCATATACCTATAAATGTAAGAAAACTCATATACCATCACACTGTGTGTGTGTATGTGTGTGTACACACTACTTTAGGAGAACACTAGCATATATATATCCAGATTCACCTCCATAAGAAGTGAGTATAAGGTTCTGAATCTTTCTGAATCTTTGCAAATCGCCTTTCCTAATAAAGTGCTAATTAGCACGTTTCACGATGGATGCGGCTAAAGTAAACAGTCTCTCTGAGAGCAGCTCGGAAGAGAGGGGCGGGGTCAGCATAGCTCATT